CAGTGGCGTTGGTGTTGTGGGTTTCTTTGTCCCACCCCATCCCTCTTAGTCTCCCCCTCCAACCACGATCTCACTGGAACCTTATATAATTATGCATAGTAAATTTCTTTGCTGCATATTAGCCGGCTGGTAGCTTACCGGAACGATGCCCATCCGTTACCGGTAGCGCAGCCGGCTTGCACCAGTTGCTTTTTTTCTCCTTTTTTCTATGTATTGCGGCACAGTAGTTGAGGTGTTTCCCACCTCTAGCTAACGTGTATAATGATGATGAGACAGCCTGTACATCGAATCGGTTTTAGACAGCCACGGTTACCATGATCTGTGAACACTTTTGATGGGCTCTGCGATCAAAGTGCGGTCGGTTGGATTGATACGGTGGTTGTGGGCAAGCTCGTTACTGTATCTAGTCCCGCGTCGTCGAGGCCATTCCACTATCTTTTATCACCAGCTCAATTCCTGTGGCCCTGTTTGCTGAGGAGCACCTTTACAAGGAAATCCAACGACTGAAATCGATTAAGCTAATGGTTTGCACCATCTAGCACCGGTAGTTTCGAATTTGTGTCCCGCTTCACCAAATTGCCTTCAGCAGATATTTTTAATAAGGGGTCTCATGCTGACGGATATATGCCAGGCCAACCCGCTTCCTTACGTTTTTGCTCGGGATGATAATGAATGGCTTTCCTGTTTGCCTCATCATGAGCGTAAGTTATTCTCGATGGCCGAGTGGTAAACTGTGTGCACGGATGATACAACCTCTTGTAGTCCTTTTTGCTCCTCTACAGGCGCTTATGGATAAATCGACGAGGACCACTAGATGCTTCAGCATGTGTTTCGCACCTTCCAAGTCCTACCGTAGATCTACGCCGAACTGTTCTCCATTCCTTCGATCATCGAACAGCCATGTGGAGTACATTACTATTGACTGTCCTATCTTGCAATTCTCATTCATCTTTGGCGACAACTAGACACCAGATCATTAACAACATACTGTACACAACATTGCGACGCGATCTGCGCTACCGTACGAGCCAAGTGCATGACGAAGCCTTCACTGCACTGAGTGACTGCGCCGAATTCGTTATGCTATTGTCTGTTGATTGGGGTTTAGCAGTAGACCGTCTCACGGTTCACTGTACTATCTGCTGACCTTAGACTACGTGGGCTAGTCCACTCTCTTCATGTCCCATTTTTGCCCACTTTTTGACTTTTGTTGTCTCTCAGAACTTTCGCACGGTCTCGCGCGCACATTGGAGCCCCTCGCTATCGATGTTTGCTGTTTTAAATGAGAACAAAGAGACCACTTGGTGAGCAATTGCTTTCGATGATTCATCATCAGACCGATACAATCATATATAGGGTTAAAAAAGTAAGATAGACATAGTTGATACAATTAACGTAGGGTAAAAATCGAAAACGGGTTAATTAAAAGTTGCGGGTTTCTTAACCTCGCGCCATTAACCTCATTATCATCCGCTTTTGCGGGCCAGGGAAGCTGAACAGCCTTAATTAACTTCTGTTGCGAGCATAACGATGGTCGGAATGATCGAAGACAATTCGATTCGGCCGTTGCGAGTGTACGGAGACGTTGTCCCTTTGACCGGTGCGGCGGAACTCTGTATAATACCCTAAAGTTACGCTCTAGATCCACTTGATGTCCACTGTCGGCAATATGAGCCTGCTGTTTTCCCGGGACCCGATTGCACGGTCCCAGTATCATGATTGAGTTGAGATCTCCCACCGACCACGGCGCCATATTTCACCTTTGTTTATCTAATGACAGAAGCTGCCGCGGCGGGCTTGGCTGGCGTTGGTGTAGCACTAAGTCGCAAAGCCGAGGCCGCACTGCTGGACTGGTTCCAGACTAACAGCCAACTGCATACAGTTCGGCTACGGGAATCATGCAGGGTCAACAGACGTCGTGAGAAGAGACGCAACTTGTTTGTGATCTCAGCGTACGCTCCATCTGACTGCAGTTGTTACTCGGTCAAGGACGATTTTTATCGTGAACTTCACCAGCTCTTGAGCAAAGCTTGCAATTTCCATATTGTTGTCCTTGTTTGAGGATCACAACGCAGGGGTTGGTCGTATATTATCACATGAAAATCACCTTGGCGGTCGCCATACGCTCGATGAGAGCCGCTCTGCTAATGGAAAGAAACTTCTTACGCTTTGTGAAAACAGTTGTCTGTCCCTCTAGAATACCAGCTTCAGGCATCCGACGAAACGTTCCGCTAATTGGCGGCCCCTTCCCGTGACTCAGTCATGATCTCAGCTTGACCACATCGCAATCAGTTACAGGTGGAGGGGTAGAGTAGAAGATTTCAGATCCAGCTGATCCACATCCCTTGACTCAGACCATGCTCTTATTTTTGCAAACGTCTGCATGAGTTTTGGAGGGTCCCCGAAAACGAAGTACTGCGAGATGGATACACATAAACTATCTACTCCCTCAGGCTTCGTTGGCTGATGCACTCAGCTGCGCTCCATCGCAAAACATTGATGAACACTAGCCGTTCATACAGAACATCATGATCGCTTCCGTACATTCAGTTTGTGGTTTTTCTCGACACCCTTTGGAGACCTGGATCTCCATGTGCTCCTTGGGTTTCTACCATTTTCATTTTAATTGGACGTTTTGCAAACCACATTGAACGTTTTGTAAACCAAAGTGGACATTTTTGCAAACCCAACTTGACACATTGCATTCTAATCAGAAAATTAGCAATTTGCCGGCGAGAAATGCGGATTAAGGCGAGCAGATAAGCAACATTGTGCTTACGCCAATGTAGCAGAACTGTGTAACCAGTGGACAATTGTACAAGCCCTCCTCTTGATCGTGGGCGTCGTTCACCTCGATCAAAGTCGGCGACCCGGATTTCCCTGTCCCTCTATGGGCCTTCGCTTATTTTGTGTGGGTCGTGTTTATAATGCCACCGTTCAGGCAGTGTTGCTACATGAAAGCGAGTCATATCCAGTTCGTGTAGATGACATGCGCCTACTCTCGGCCTTCGACAATGAGTGCTTGAGGAGAATCACCCGTGTGTGGTGGCACCAACGTATTTGCAACGGTGAAGTCAGACGTCGTGTCTTAGGGAATGCGAGTATTCCCTTCAGCAAGTTGGTTTTGCTGTGTCAATTAAGATGGCTCGGTCACGTTCTGTGTATGTCGGCTGAGCGTTTGCTCCATCGCGCCCTGTACGCTGGTGTAGAACGCGGTGGTCAGCCATCCACCTGGCGACAACATATGAAATCATAGACTTCACGTCTTGCTGCCGTGTGATCCACACGTCTGCCTGGCTGAGGATCAACAGACGAAGAGTGCCGATGGCTGGAAGCAATTTAGGATATGACGTTCCATCGAAACCAGTTTACGTTCAGATGCTTAACGCCTGACAATTGATAAAGATTAGAATAACGGGGAATGGCGTGTGAAAGTATAACAAAATGTTTCATTCTTTTGTGGCGCACTCGCTGGAGTTTTTTGCTCACCTCCAACCAATGTGCCCTTATGATATTGATGCGGCGACTACCTGTCATCCGCTGATTCCCATAGTTTCGTTTGGCTTTATGTCTGTTTATCAGGCTCTTGATGCTATATATATATATATATATATATATATATATATATATATATATATATATCCACACAGTTATAATAACCTTCTGGAATGACCCACCGGAGTGAAGGAAACATGAAACGCGTAAGTTGCGGTGTTCCACTAGACCTCGGTCAGTTACACCATCTCAGGCGTCGTTAGCCGGTTGTACGCGAGCCACAGGGTAACGCCATACCCAAACTTTCACCGGGGACTTGTCGAGAATCTTCAACGGGTTTGTACTTCTTGGCGCCTTAGAGACGATTCATTGCAGTTAGCCCTCGACCAGGTTGTTTCTCACACATCCGGAAAAGCGTTAGACGTCCATTTCACCCTATTGGGGCACATCAATAACACACATCCACCGGCTGTACCAGGGTGCGAACCCATGAACTCCGGACGCCAGCAGCTTGTACTACTTTGCCGACGACGGACCATCATGATTTATAAGCCAGCTGTGATATGGCGCGACTTATCTACGCTGCCTAGTAAGCTTCTAACTTTGAAAACGACTGGGCTGCCCCCGTAGTCACGGCTTTTCGTGCAGCAGCCTTGTACGACATTGCATTTTGAAGCTTTTCGGGCGAATTTTTGATTACTTGTGAGTGGGAGATTTTTCATGCAATGCTTTTCAGGATCAGTCGGAGCCCGTCTGACTGGGTGCTGACTGTGACGAGCGGTCCATAAGCTGACAGCTCGAATGTTTTCTAGGTGGATTCGCAGTCAAGATTTTAGGGCACTCGGTGTTTGTTTACAAGCGACCCTACTGACTGCTAACAGTATATTGCACAGCTGCGTGGTAGATGGATTCACTACTGGAACAGTTTTACCACGACTGGAACCTTGCAATACTGTGCGCGACGGGTGGCTGACCAATCAAACTTAACCCACAAAATTGAGTATTTCTGCTAAGCAACGAGGTCGATTATTAGGAGCTCGGAGGCGGGCCTTTAAGCTAAGATTCTTCACAGAACTGAGAAATTAGAATATGTCAGGCTTATTGTGGCGAATGTTGTGGCTTCACATGGCAACTGCCTGAAGAGCATGTGGCCACCATCACTTAAACGTTTTGAACTGGCCTGCTTTTTGGGGGCTACACATACGGTTTGCGTTCAATTAATTCTATCTAGACCTAGCACTGGTGCTGTAGTGTTGGTCATAAGTCACTGGCCGACGTTAAATTCACGTGACCGTCGCACTGACCGCTCAGCTTCCCATTTGAATCGATTTGTCACCTAAGTACACCATGTGGATGCAGTTGCTTTCACATGGAATTGCACGCACAAACTGTAGCTTTTCAGTCCTTTCATGTTTAGCGGGCTTGTTTCCGCATTCCTAATGTATTTCAATTTATACCTTTGGCCCATTCATCCGTCCTCAAGTTTTCTCGATGCTCTCTTTCAGTTCAAACGTTGGCCCGTGGCAGCCACGTGCTCGTGCCCACAAATCCGTGTGGTGTACTATTCGACCTGATAGAGACAGCCGTACACGCGAAAGAGAACTTCAAGGGAACTCTGCTACCTGTGTTTCCACCGGACACAACAGAACCCAATGTCATCAACTCTAACTCAGCTGCGACCACACAGACAACTGCTCACGCGTCCACATCCCAGCCTTCTGAGAGCACAGACTCCAACCACAGCTCTGCAACCTCGGATCGCCCTATGGCTGCTACCCAGGGAGGCTCATCGCTAGCTGGCCGAGTGGCCCGTTGCCCCATATTTGTTGTGTCCAGTCAGATAAATGCAAGTCTGGCCTACGCAAACTCTTATGGCGAGTGGCTGAATCCGGAGAAAGAAGCGCTATTGTACACCGCAGACGCCCCTTTTCCCTTCCAGTTGGTACGTGGTAGTCATCAGTGACGCTAACTTATTCGCGTCGAAAATGTCGTGAGTGTACTTTTGCGCCGTCGTATTCTATCTCGTATCGGCAACAGTCACTACTCCCTTTCCTAATGAGCGTTCATCGAAACCTTTTACTCCTGTCTTTCTACTGGGCATCCTAAGCATTTGTACGCTACCTTGGAACTGCACAACCCTGAGTAGAAGTGTCGACTTGTACCAGCAGTTGGTATCTTCATCTCTTTGGATATTCCAGTTTCGGAGTTGCCAGTCCGTGGTGATGTAATTTAACCGTCTTATCTTTCTGTACTTTACCTAGTCGATCACAGAGGGTCAGGGGAAAATCAACGTGCGATCCATTAACCTCAGTAAACCATATTCCCCAGTCCCCTCATCCAGGTGTCTTACTTTGTACCGTTTTCACTAGCTCAGATTTTTTACCCACACAGTCACTGTTGTGCTTTCCACTAACCGCACAGATAACCTAATGCTATTGCGTAAGCTAAACCTTCCGACTTCCCAGATCGGAAGACAAAGGCCTTTGCAGAATCTTTATTGAGTATCCGACAAACAGTATGTACAGCTACAAGCTTTAGCCAAATTAATAGTTCATTGTAGAAGAGCCTATCTGAAATTTTCTGGTTTTCAGTATGTTCTAGATGCTTGTTGCCGAAAGAATGCACTCACCGGAGAACTTCACGGTAGGTCATTCTCATTGGTGGACTCTCATTGGCTAACCAATTAGCTGCTGGCTGCGGTGGGAAAATTTCTCCGGGGTCCTCGCGATAAGACTAGCTCCGACGGTTGTTACGCACCGAATCCCTTATCAGTCACTGATTTCCATCTTATCCCAAGCCACTCTGCTTATTGTGTTTGAATGAGAACGCAGTCGATCGCATGATGCTTTGCTACTACAACTGAAAACCCCCATTTGGTCATAGTAACTGTTCACTTATATCCGGTATTTTCTCATGGGTCTACATTCGCTGCTTCTTTCTAGCCACGCTATCTCTCACTATAATTCCCTCTAATTTTCGCACCTCTTCGAGCAGATTATGATTACTTTTCGTCATTTACCTTTTCTCAAGTAACTCATACTGAGCTTCAGCTGCACGGCTAGCTTCCTCTTTTCTATCGATCTTAGGACTTGCATATATCCGTGGCTTGATGTGTAGATATGGATTTTGCGTCGTTTTTCTAGCTGAGTGCTTTGTTTGCAGACATTTCCTTATCATACTTGGCAACATAAATACGTCTACTAGGGTCTGCTTCGCAGTGCCTGATATATCGCCTCTAGATCCATGTGCCTATGATTGAGTTCTGCTTTAAATACCGAACTTCGATGAGTTTATATGCTTGTCGGCTTTGTTTGCTCTTCCCCGTAATTTACCGCTTTCTTGATCGAATTGGTGGTTTTTGGTATCCATTCGCACAGACATTAGTGATTTCTAGTTATAACTGTGAACGCATAGGGTTTGTTCATGTAGTCTTATGCCGAACTTTCTTCCCATATGTCTGAGGTAGTGTTTGTCGCAGGTTCGGCAGCAGACCTTTTAGATGTTTTCTGTTAAGTTTACCTCTCGCTTTGACGGATTTGTTGCAGATTGTTCCTTGACTCTAAGAGGCAGTCAACCTCTCACTATTTTAATGTTTCAGCCGATGTAAGGCAGCGTGCCTCTTCTTTTCGACCTTTGTACTGATGGAATGGTGTTGGGGTGCATTTTGTCGTACTAGATAGCGCAGAATGATACCTTTTGGATACGGTTTCCATTGAAACAGACTGCAGAGATAGTTTGCTTCTGTCTATCTCAGCTGCGCTCGGACATTGTCGCTTGATTAGTGTCCTAGTTCAGAATCTGATGCACATATGTTAGGTTTCCGATAGTCCCCCGTTTCCAGTATTCCAGCAACGGCTCCTTGTATGATTACTTCAGCAAATGGCGGCTTTCGGTTGTTCTTTTCTTCTCCGTTGAATTTGATCATCACCATTGCGTATTAGCTAAAGCTAACAAACATCTCAGCCACTGTGCTGCAATGAAAAAGATATGAATACAGAGTAAAAATAAAAATTGCCATGCAATCTAACGCCGAATATCATATTATGTATACAGTGTGAGATGCGGGTTGAATGGGGAGGCCAAGCGAGAGGGGGAAGTGCAAAGAAGCCCATAACACACTGAAGTCAGCTCTTCGCAATGTCAAGGAGTTTATCCGAAAGACGTGTTCGTCGTCACAGGGACCCCACCCTAGCAATCGGGACTCCCCAACCCATGTCGAGCTTTAAGTTAGGGCCTTCATTCATCCTGCCCAAATCATCAGTTGGCCACTTCTCCTTTTCTTCCATTCACATTCCGGTCTTGCAAACAACGCACTGCGCTAGAGTCGGTGTGCTGACATGCGTAACACATGACCCAGCCATCGGAGCCTGGTGCGTGAAATAACAATGCTGAGCGGTCCACACGCTCTTGCTGCACCAAATACGAGGCGTCAGACACGCTCATTGCTTATGCGGTGTTCCCACCAGACAAGCTAAACTGTGAAGGCAGCGACGGTCGAACGCAACAGGCTTCTTTAGTTCTGTCAATCTGATGGGTTAGGTTTCGCAACCGAACGGATGGTTCCGTTGCAAACTTTGCCTTTCAGAGTGAGAGTGCTGTCGCATCCGTGTCACGGGTGATGGAGATTGGCAAAAGCGCCTCGTGCTTTTGTTATACTGTTATTGACCACATTTTCCATTCCAGAGAAACTAATATGGCTGCCTGAATATTTAAATTTCTGGACGGCTTCTAGCTGATTCCCACCTAGGGTTAACCCAGAGTGGTTCCTTACCAATCTCGGAGAAGGACTTTGCATTTCAAGAGTGCAAAGCGCAGCCCGAAACGACTGACAACTAGTGCCAATCTGTTCAGTGCTGTTTGGCACGTTTGTGTACTGTCACAGACATGGGCAATGTCGTCTGCACCGCTGTAGATATTGAAAGACGGCGACAGGCATTAACCCTTATTCTGCCCAAACTACGCGTGTGCAGCACTCCTGTGGCATTTACATGGTTATCGGACACACCGTTCCTGAGCGGACAGTTCAAAGTGCACAGCAGTTTGCCGAAATGAAGGTATCTTTGATGTTGGGGAATATGACTACGTTGGGTCTCCAATAACTATAGCGGTGTTCCAGCAACTGATGTAATGCGATTTACTCGATACAGCCTGTTTCGTCGAAACCGGGCTTGCTCTTCACAAGTCTGGTTTTCACGTTTACCAGTCAGTCTGTGAAGGACGACAGAACCAAGCAATTTAGAGGCGATGGAGATCAGACAAATACCTTGATGGTTGCCGCGTTCCTTGAAAATTGGGCGAATAACGGTGCGGCTGCAATCGCTTTGGGCGATTTCACACCCACACAGCTTCCACAATACGATGTGCAAATTCTCCACGAGAGATACTCCCCCGAATTTGAAGTGGGCTGGTAAAAGTCGATCTGCTCCTGCGGCCTTATTCATTTCCAGCATTCCGATCTCACGTTCGACTTCTGCCCATGATGACGAATCCAAGGGGTTGTTCCAGCGAGAAAAGTGATCACCGGTCAATAAGGAAGATGACAACTCTGTCTGATTAAACTATTTTCCGACTGTTCGGCCCAACGCTAAAGTCTTTTGACAAGTTATGGAGTAACTGTTCATTCTCGTTGCTTATAGTCTCACCCTCAATCGCTAATATACTCAGAAGAGTCAAAAGCCGGGGTGAACGTAACTTTGTCGAAGTCTGTCTTTCAAGGCGGAAATCTATCGGTATGCTCTGTGAACCGAGTGTCAATAGATACGCTGACGATGTTTCCTAGCCTAGCAACGAAACGCCTTCAAATAAATCACTCAATTTGGCGAATAACTCAAAATCCACGTCTGCTACGGTTATGCACCATGTATACTGAGGCCGTGGCATACTGATTTGTTTGTAATTTCTTTCATTCATATTTATGTTTTTTCTGATTTCATCCACGCATCCCGTTTTCGCTCCACGTAAGGTTAATCGAACTCTGACCACTGGAGTTCATGTGCTTTATTAGCATCTTCTTCCCAATGTCCATAGCTTCTTCAATCAGGTCAGCTTGTCCGACTCAAGAGCTTGCACGAGACTCCTGGTTCTAAGGATTTGGGCGACCCACATTCGCGCTGCATTTCACCCACCAACACCCCCCTCTTGCTTGGACCGAATACACACTTAGGTGATATGTTTACCTCCGGAACGCCATCTTCAACCAGCCCAACAGCTTTAGTGGACCCCACCACCATGATGGCGTTGGCTTCCGCATCTACCACTCGTGGTCGTGCTTCGGGACTAACTGGGGGTGTGTGGCCAGGGTCACCGTGTGTCATCTTTGCCAGCCATCCCAGTCTTCGTTTTGGATCGGTTGTTCATCTCATCCGGGCGCTGGCCTATGGAGACCTTCGACCTGGAGGTCGTAATACGAACCAAGCTGCTCCACTCAAACACTCAATCATCTTGGTTGAATCTGCCGATTACGTCCCAAGGTTTGTGCACTGTCATATACATTGACGCCGTCATCCCATCATTGCAGGTGCAAATATTTCTTTAGTGATGGACAGTTGTTTGACATTTTGCTTGGCCGCTCAGTTAATTGTTAATTTGCTATTAGTAATTGGTTGCTCACACTCAATAATTACTGCGTTTTTACACCCGGAAGATCGTCTGTTTACCTCACAACCATACATCAGCTGTTCATTTAATGCGGGGCCCTCATCGAAGAATCCTGTCGATGGAAGACTGTTTCCACTCATTCCATCATCGGACTCGTCTCGATTCCGCCACAGCGTTGAACATGCCAACCAATACTTAGTGTTGGAATCACAGCTCCCTGTTCCGAACATAGATAGTTCCAGCTGTTCTCGATTGTCACTTGAGCTTGCACGCTCGCTCTGCACAGGAGACTCTCATTTAAAGTAGCTTTGAGTTCTTCTGAACAGGCACATCTAAACCGAGGAAGCAAACGACTGGCAGCTGATTACTGTCGACCGGTGACCGAGTGATCTGCACGCCTGGCTTGCGATCATAAGGTTAGCGGTTCGAATCCGCCTAGGGGGCGGGCCTCCTCGAGGTTTACACAGCTCGCGCGCGACTGGTAGTGGTCGCGCAGCATCGAAGCGCCGTTACGGTCTACAGCTGACACTTAATTTTTTCATTTCGCTGATCACCAAGTAGAATTTTTTATTTTCTGCATATTGTCCGGCTATACTCTCTGATGTTATGTCGCATACATCGATTCTTCCTTTTGTGACAATCTTCGGCTCACATCTCTTTACCTCGCTTTTCGACACCTCATTTTTGTCACGGTTGTCCAGATATATCCATCCGATCGGCGACGAAGTTAACCAGGCATTTGGCTTGTGATCTACCTTTCGTCTGTTCGAACTCGCCTAGGCTCCAGTTACCACGCAGTATCCCATCTCGCGTGCAACCACTGAGGATTTGGTGGCTTCGAAGCGTCACTCTGTAGTGCTGGTGTAAATCGAACTGCTACCTTTCTCGGCAACGCGCGACATTGTCCACGGAGTCTGGTCCGATCATTATGTATAGGTTTCATTAAGAACTGTGATTACAAACGTGTTGTTCTCCACTGGTGCGAATGTGTGGACCATTTACTGCGAAATGCTCACTAGACATTTTCTCCAAAAGTGTATCACGTATTGACTATAAACATTTTAACGAAATTTCCTAGTATCTTTCGGACATCGCTCCCTTAAAGATGAGGAAATTGTTATATGTAGGGGGTTTTCAGATCGAATAGTGGCAATGAAAAACTTAAATTAAAAAATAATAAGGCTTTGTGGATGATGCCAGAATGAGTCCTGGGATCCATCTATACAGGTTGTACAGCATGTTGAGTTTGGCGTGTGGGAAGCAGTTACGTAGACAGTATCGGGTGCTGACCAACCTAGAATGTTTTGACATACCTTCAGGGCGTTTTGGATGACACTATTTGTGGTCAGTTGATGTAGTGCATGCTATGCGTAGTTATTGCGATGATAAACCGACCAGTTGAACCGACAGTGTTTATAACGAGTACGGCAACTATTCACTCGATTGACAACTGCCGTTTTTTTCCACTCCCACAGCTAATCGCTTCTAGTTATTACAGCATTTTTAAGCATCACCATTCGTTTACTTCGTTGATCAAGGTTTTGGCGCTTCATGATTGGTTTTTTGTTTGTCTTGTTTTTGTTCGTACTTGTTAGTATTCCAGCCGTTACCTTTCATTTAGCGAGACATTGGCAGAGTCTGCTCCACTCTGTCATGCGGAACTTGGCTTGTAAGTTAAATGACACTAAACGATAATGCTTCCGAATGCCGCTCACAAATCTATGTACACTCCCACACGGTGTGCGGGTCGTTCCGACTGTTTTAGTATTTCATCCCTCGGCTTATGATTGGTTTCTTTGTTGTCACCTGTGAACCTGTTTTTATGTTTATTTATGCTAGTTTACCTAAGCTTTTTCGGGTTTGAATTATCAGAAGATCTAAACTTTTTATTAGCGTCGTCCGTTTTCAGTCTCGCCTATCATAACTGCATCGACCACGTAACTTCTGTGTACAATGCTTGGCCTCTAACGATGGCTCTCGTGAACACCGCTCACTCGTCTCCTACTGGATGTTGGTGTATGAACGAAATCCGCTCTTGACATCAGTCTATCGCGGCGGACCTCGCTCCTCCTCCGACATGCTTTTGGACCAGCATTATCGGTGTTATACTTTCGAGGCTATCCATCTGTTTTATATGGTAAATGCACATATCTCTTCAACTTAGCCACAGATGAAGCGGTTGTACCACTTCCCCATATCCCGGCAACGCTTCTAATTGTGTGTCTAATGTTCGTCTCTGCAGCTGTTTCCTCCTCTCAGACTTACCCTTTTTGGTCATTTTTTAGATCCTCCCTTATCGCTTCACCAGACCCATCTAGCCAACTATTGAAGCATTTGATCACTCCGTACCTTGGTGCTCGCGGAGACGACCGGTTCATGACCACCAAGTCACCCTCCGGAGTGACCACTTGCAACTTGAGCGATTCGGCCACCGTATTTTGGCTCCCGATGGAGGCCCGTTTGAGACCGGAAGAATTGCCCCAGCTGCTATCACGTGGCGGATCTCCGAAACTGGCTTTGTGTGTACCCGCGGAGATGGCATCTCGTTTGGTATGTTTCTTTCACTTATTCCCATCGTAGGCGTGGAGCTGTGAGGTAGGTTTGTCTGTTGATTGGATATGGGGCGACCCTCATTGCCGTGGTGCGGTCGAGAGTCACCTTAGCACTATACCTTCCAATTCGTTGCATCGTTCCCCCAAATGTTTGCATTGGTGACGCTTGAAGCTGCATCGCGTACGATCGCGTGATCTCACGTCACGAACACAATCCGTGAGTATGGCTCATGTAAGTGCACACGTGCAACGCGTCACATGACGCACGCGATGCCACTTCAAGCGTCACCGACGCAAACATTTGGGGGAACAATACGACGAATTGAGATAAATTTAAAACACTGAGTTCCCTTTATCATTCTAAATAAGACAATGAGAAGACTGGTATTGCGAGATGGAACCATTTCGTGTTACCTGCTTACTCGCAAACTAACAATATAAAGATGAGTCACATGACAGAAAAATCGAAGATTTGATACTGGTCACAAAGGAAAATTACGTAGACGCAAGAATAACAGATCAACGAGCTTCATCTAAGGGCCATTTTTTCACGTTAGCTAGAGGTGAGGAACACCTCAGCTACTGTGCCGCAATACATAGAAAAAAGGAGAGAAAAAAGCAACTGGTGCAAGCCGGCTGAGCTACCGGTAACGGTTCGGCATCGTTCTGGTAAACTATCAGCCGGCTACTGTGCATCAAAAAATTGCTATACAAAATTATATAAGGCTAAATGCTGAGATCGTGGTTGGAGGGGGAGGCTAAGAGGGATGGGGTGGGACAAAGAAACTCACAGCACGAACGCCACTGAGTTCGGCTCCTTGCCATGTCAGCAAGTGTGTCCAACCAAACGTGTTCATCGTCTTTCGGACCCCAACCAGGGAGCCGAGACGTTCCAACCGAGAACAGCTCAGAAGTGAGGGCCTTCATTCCTCTGGACCAAATCATCGCTTGGCCACCGCTCCTCTTCTTCCATCCACACCCCCGGCCCGCAAACAACGCACGTCGCGGGAGTCGGTGGGCTGGCATGCGTAACACGTGGCTGAGCCGTCGGAGCCTGGTGCGTGAAATAACGGTGCTGAGCGGTTCATTACCTTTTCCTGTACCGTAAACAAGGCGTCGAACACGCTCGTTACTCACGCGGTGTTCCCACCAGATGTGGGCTAAATTGCGAAGGCACCGGTGGTCGAACGTAACTAGCCTCTTCAGGTCCGTTGCTTTAATGGGCCAGGTTTCACAATCGTACAGTAGGGTCTAACGTACCGTAACGTAGGGTCATGAGCCCCAAGGAAGCTTCAGGGAGACTGTTAATTGTTTTGTACACAAAGGATAGGGCGATGCCGGTTAAGTGCCACCGCTTCGGCAAACCTCAATACTTTGGGGTTATCATTTCGATAGATAACTGTAAATGTTGACCTAGGGTCAACCTGATGGCCTGATTCGAGTAGATGTCTGGCGATTGATGATGCCGGCAGCTTAGATACCTTTTCTCGTTCGGCTGCTGGTTGTGTCGATATTTTAGCAATCCGTTTTGGGATATGCTCTCCAATGCGCTTACCCAAGGATCGATCTGTTCTGCCAATGTAACTACTACCGCAGTTACAAACGAATTGATAAATACAATGGGTTGTGGCGGAGATCGGTTAAGTAGGCTTCACTGGAGGCATAGGCAACTTCCTGGTCTTCCAAATGGGGCAGAATTTGGCAGCATTGAATGTCCGACGAATCGCTGTATGCAAACGACTTTCAAGTTTGGCGGTCACGATATCACCTTTGAAAGGTAATTGAAGGTAGACAGACAGTTTGGGCACAGTAAATACCCTCGGCCTGTTTTCCTTCAGTTGACTGTGGAATCGAATAAACGCCTCTGGATATCCGTTGGCCCGTAGCGTCTGTGTGATAAACAGCAATTCTGATTCCAAACAGTCGTCAGTGCATATTCTGCGGGCTCTATTAAACAGCGTCTTGACTAAGCACCGCTAGTATTGTATAGGGGCGAAGCTGTTGAAGTGTTCATACAGTCCTGTCCATGTAGCTTTCCTGTGAATAGAACGCTTTATGGAGCCGTCTTCTCGTTTGGTCAACAACACATCCAAAAACGGAAGGCAATTGTTATCCTTCAGTTCACAGGTACAACGGGCGTTTGGATGTGCGCTATCGAGCACATTGAGAAAAGATAGAACAGCGTCTCCACTTGGGGCAATCACTAGTGTTTCATCTACGTATCGTCTGTATAAACACATTTGATTGTTGTGCGGCTCACATCTCATTTCAACCAGCGTCATGAAGATGTCAGCTAATACCGGGCCAAGCGGACTTCCCAGGCCTACACCATCCACCTGTCGGTACGGCTTGTCTTCAAATAAGAAATGCACATTTTCCGTGCATAGTAGCAGCAAATCCCTAAGATATTCCACGGGAATCGGTTACATTACTTTATTACTACCCACATAAGAAACCCACTGTTTCTCTTAATGGGATGTTAGCGAACTAAGACTACGTCCATTGAACATATTATCTTGACAGCAATATTCATGTTTTGCACACAGTCAATCGGGTCGAATGTATCCTTCACAGTATACTTTGTCATCATTCGTCTCACCGGTGTATGCAGATCAACTAGCCAACGTCCCAACTTGTGGTATTATGAGTTACACATGGATAGTACAGGCCTTAAAGGTGTGTTGGCCTTGTGGATCTTCGGTAAGCCATACATTTGTGGGATGCTTGTCCCCCTTGGCGATACGTAGATGAAACACTAGTGATTGCCCCAAGTGGAGACGCTGTTCTATCTTTTCTCAATGTGCTCGATAGCGCACATCCAAACGCCCGTTGTACCTGTGAACTGAAGGATAACAATTGCCTTCCGTTTTTGGATGTGTTGTTGACCAAACGAGAAGACGGCTCCATAAAGCGTTCTATTCACAGGAAAGCCACATGGACAGGACTGTATGAACACTTCAACAGCTTCGCCCCTATACAATACAAGCGGTGCTTAGTCAAGACGCTGTTTAATAGAGCCCGCAGAGTATGCACTGACGACTGTTTGGAATCAGAATTGCTGTTTATCACACAGACGCTACGGGCCAACGGATATCCAGAGGCGTTTATTCGATTCCACAGTCAACTGAAGGAAAACAGGCCGAGGGTATTTACTGTGCCCAAACTGTCTGTCCACCTTCAATTACCTTTCAAAGGTGATATCGTGACCGCCAAACTTGAAAGTCGTTTGCATACAGCGATTCGTCGGACATTCAATGCTGCCAAATTCTGCCCCATTTGGAAGACCAGGAAGTTGCCTATGCCTCCAGTGAAGCCTACTTAACCGATCTCCGCCACAGCCCATTGTATTTATCAATTCGTTTGTAACTGCGGTAGTAGTTACATTGGCAGAACAGATCGATCCTTGGGTAAGCGCATTGGAGAGCATATCCCAAAACGGATTGCTAAAATATCGACACAACCAGCAGCCGAACGAGAAAAGGTATCTAAGCTGCCGGCATCATCAATCGCCAGACATCTACTCGAATCAGGCCATCAGGTTGACCCTAGGTCAACATTTACAGTTATCTATCGAAATGACAACCCCAAAGTATTGAGGTTTGCCGAAGCGGTGGCACTTAACCGGTATCGCCCTATCCTTTGTGTACAAAACAATTAACAGTCTCCCTGAAGCTTCCTTGGGGCTCATTACCCTAAGATGAAGCTCGTTGATCTGTTATTCTTGCGTCTACGTAATTTTCCTTTGTGACCAGTATCAAATCTTCGATTTTTCTGTCATGTGATTCATCTTTATGTTGTTAGTTTACGAGTGCGCAGATAACACGAAATGGTTCCATCTCGCAATACCAGTCTTCTCATTGTCTTGTTTAGAATTGTGATAAGGTGTAGCACGTCGTGACCTGGCATTTTGATCGCTCAACGGGGTTCTGTGCATATAGTTTCCACATTTGTAAAACATTTTCAAGATATTTCATGATTTTTTATTTTTGGTCATACCTTCTAACTGAAGTTTCAACTTGATATCTGTGCTAGTTTTCGGGGGAAGTGGGGGTTATGTTCTTGCTAGCAGGATTGTCAGTATTTGGTCGCAATGACCACATTCTTCTAATCTGGTTTCATTTTCTTAATCAGACGTCACTGTTATTTTTGACTATTACAAATCCTTGTTAGCAAGACCAAAAGACGCCGTACGTGTGGTCTGCAGTGTCAGTCAACACGGGAGTGGAAACAAGACGATTCACGGTTTCCCAGTGATATCGTACTTTTGATTTAGGAACTTTTTGTGCCTTTTATTCACGATGGTTGTAATAGCAGAGCAGCTGATCAGCTTTTACGTGAACTTATAGCTGTCGATCATAATGAGTCTGGAATGGAGAATGAATATGATGATGATGATTTCACTATCCAGGAGTTCGCAGAAAATCACACCGTCTCTGATAGTCAAAGTTCTGACAGTGACACTCCTCATGCGGACAGTGGTGACGAAAAAAAACATGAAAGTGGATCAGCCGTTCCATGTATTTTTCAGTGGAGTTCACGCAACGAAGAATGACACAACGGGGACTCCAATAGGGTTCCACACAACCACTGTTGATAGGATGGCATCATATAATGTTTTCAAGGCAAGACCAGGGTTAACTGCGTTCGCTAAGAAATGTGTGAAATATGGTAAGCTCTCGAGTGTTTTTAACACCGTTAGCTGGAGTGGAAATTAGACGTGGGATATACCCACTACCACTGCTACTCCTGCTGGCACCAAGGCACATTTTAGCTGCTCCATGTGATGTTGAATGAGGTCTTTGACTAACAGGCCACAAATCACCAGTATTTTTCGCCAATAACACAGATGGTTCACCCATCTTGTGAAGTCCGAAAAACTTTGATTTCCTGTACCAGAAAGATTATTCTCTCTTGATAGCTCAGTGATCTTATTCCTACCTCCTTTCATCTTCCGAACCAATAATAAGCTTTTCGCACTTAGACCGCTGCATATTTGAG